GTGAAACGAAGTTCACGGGGTCAGCTAGTTGTTAATAAAAGAAGTTGTTATTTTTCATTAATAAATAAACCAAAAAAGCATTTAATCAAACATTTATAAATTATAAACAAAAACATTAAAGCATAACCAACTAAACACTAGAGAAGATATTCAAAATTCCTGGCTTGTACATATAACTAAGCTCGTAATGTTTCGAAATTTTGATCATTTTTTGTAAAAGTTAGACATCTCATCAGTACTTGCTAAGATAAAACGGATTTTGGCAAATGGCATACCCTTTAAGAAAAGAGAGGGAGGGTGGGTGGGCAGGGCTAATAGCTGTCAAGATAAGACTGATTTTGGCAAATGAGAAACCCTCTAAGAAAAGAGAGGGCGGGTGGACTGGGTTAGTACATGCTAAGATAAGACTTATTTTGGCAAATGAAATATCTTTTAAGGCAAGAAAGGGTGGGTGGGCGGGGCTAATAGCTGCTAAAATAAGACCGATTTTGGAAAATGACGTATCCTGTAATAAATCTAATTAAATTATTATAAGGAAAGACACTAGAAGTTTTAAAGTCCCTTCAAATTCTTTCCAAACAGGAATGCCTAGAACCTCAAGATTGTTTTAAATTTTTCAAGAAAAAAGAACAAAAATTAACTCAAAAACAGGTCAGGTCAGAAAACAACACATACCATATCTTTGTATATTCTAACTGAAATGGTAATTAAACATAGTTATTGTGATAACGAATGTGTTGTTTAGTTGTTTGAAATCATTGTAACTCCACCAAAATGTGTTAAGAGCGTAGCGGAGAGTTAATGTGCCATTTTCCAAACACCCGGTATACCTCAATATAAGGATATCAAATCTTTAGTTGAATCTTTACAAGCTGACTTCTCCAACTCTATAGTCAAACTCCGAGAAGAATTAACTGCCGAAATTCAAGTCATAAAATGCTGTACGACTTTGGTCTCTGACTTTTTTCTAATTTGTGATTTTTAAATTGTACTAACCTTATTCTATTATTATACTGTTATTTTATATTATTATTCTTTTGATTGATGTAATTTGGTTTGGTAATATTGGTCTATTGAAAACTGTTTTTACTCCAAGCGTAAGCAAAAAAAGTACATATTGTAATAGGATCCAGCCGACGACTGGCTATTTTTGTATTTTCTCGATGTTTCATGACCCATAGAGTACGAAAAAAGTGGTCTGTCTGTCGTCTGTGTCGATTATTTTTATTGGCGTAATCTACCCCACCAACAATTTGATGATAGTAGTACTTGCGAAGATGAACTGATTTTGGCAAAGAACGTACTTTCTAAGAAAATAAAGGGCGAGTGGACGGGGTTCGTATTTGCTAAGATAAGACTGATTTTGGCAAGTGCAAACTCTGAGAAAATAGAGGGTGGATGGGCGGGGCTAGTATTTGATACGATAAAGACGGATTTTGGCACTTTGGACATTTTCGACCATTTTTCAACTATTTTCGAAAACTAGTTGAATACATTTTCGTCTAGATTTCGATATCCAGAAGTCATTTTCGGCTTTGTTTCTAAAAAATTCCTACCGTTCTTCCAAAATCGCCAACTGAAATATAACGATTTTTACAGTTCCGTCAAAATAGCTCGGCATAAAATTTTTGTATCTAAACAGGAATTATTAATTTTTGTTTCACAAAATACAATTGTTTTAAAAATGTATTTTGTGGTTTCTATATATTCACAGATATGTTTAAAATTTATTTATTTGAATAAGAAATAAATTTTATAACAAATAGTAGGTATAACAAAATAAAATACGATTGTCGTTTTTTTTTTACTTTTTTCACATCCTAAAGTCTATTAGTTTCCACTCCCACTCGACACAAGAACATATTTAGCCCCACCCACCCACCCTGCCTCCTTTCCAGAAATTCATTTCATCCGATCTGAATGAAATGAATGATCTTATACTGAACATAAATAAAATTAGTCGTTAGAATGAAAAGAGGGGGTAGTACTTGCTAAGATAAGAGTGATTTTGACAAATGACATACATATTCTAAGAAAATAGAGGGTGGGTGGGCGGGGCTAATAGTTGCCAAAATAAGACTAAATTAAAGGTCGTGATATTAGAAAAAAGAATTTAATTTTATATAGTATTGTAGCATAACGCTGCTTGGAAGCAATGACCCTTCTTGTACAGGTAAGAATGCTACTAAAGATGTACTGTCAACTGTATTGCCTAATAAGGATGATGTGATTGTAAAATGTGTCAGAATAGGAAAACTTAATGAATGCGTCCATGAAAGTTATATTGAATGACGAAAATCATGTTACTCACTGTATCCGCAATGTAAAGAAGTTAAAGACCGCTTAGAACATCTCAGTTTCATTTGGTCGTACTTCACGTTAAATAATTCATGCTTACAACATTATGCGCTCAGAGATGGAGTGTACAGTAAGGAATCTCGTCATTATTGTGATTCCATTTTTCGTGCTCGCCATATTTTGTGTAACATTTCTCGTTCTCTACTTAGTGGAAAGAGAACGAGTTTATGACTGTATGAAAACTAATAATAATAATAGTAAATAAATAACGCTGTATAAATAAGTTAAACAACAGTTAGAGAATCGAATTAAGAACGGTGAAACACATTTAAAAATGGTAGTAATTATACAGGGTGACTGCGAAATATATGCAATAATTTTAACCATGGCATCCCTTACCTTAATAGTGTCGAAATAGAAAAAACAAATTAAAAATCGAATGGGGCAAAACCCCCATGAACCACCCTCTATACGAAGTCACTGATCCACCTTGTAAACATTAGGTGGAAAAACGTACGAATAAAAACGATGTAAACACTTTCAGTTTCAGTTAAAAATAAAATCGACTTTTTGGTGGTTATCATTCGTTCATTCATGCATTCATTCGTCATTAACGGTCAGTGTGAAAGATTATTCGTTGTAGAAAAAAATGGTGGTTCTGACCGATTTTTTGTAATGCTTCATGATGATCGACTTTTTATTATGACGGATGTTTGGTTCTGTCACGATTCCACATTGTTTATTAGAACAAAAATAAGAGCAACTTAGAATACTACCTCTTTATAAGAAATATTGAAAGTGTTGGCGTTCACAACACTGCGGTAACAACCATTTGGACTAAATTACACAACGTGGACAATTAGCGGGCTCGAAACCATGCACTTTTTGAATATGGTATGGATCTGGCCTTGTTCTTTTAATGTACGATGCACTACAAACTGTGAAACTCCAACTTCAGCTGCAAGTCGGCGAGTGATGATGTGGGGCTCTTCTTCGACCCGTTCCAAAATTTGTTCTTCAGCATGCAGTATTCTTTCGGTCCTATTGTCGTGAGTTTGAAGCTCGAAGGTACCATGAACTTGGAGATGCTGCACCACTGACGCAAATGTTCGCACACACGGATTGCGCGATTTGGAAAGCGTTCGATCCACAATTCGCGGCCATAAATATCAACACACTCAAAATTGGTAAATTTACCATTGTCAAACACAACCAACTACACCAAACGCTAGTAGTAAACTGCTACATGACTGCCCGTATCGTCTTTTTGCACCTTCCTTATCAGTGCACCTTTTTTGTGATTCTTAGCCCAAGTCGCTCTGTACCATTCATTGTAGTAATTATGCAGGTCACGAAACACTACCAGTAGCACGTATAACAATTTATCTAAATTTCAAATAATTTTTTCCAGACATTGCTGCCACTTAGGAACGTGAAATTTACACAGAGCCATAATCTTATTGTGAGCTTTTCCCATTTTTTTTGCACATATTTCGAAATCACCTGTATACCACTTTTTTGGTCCGAGCTGAATTATTTCCCGAGGTCCGAATGGTCGAGGGAAATTGAACAAGAAATAAATTAACCAATAACAACCGAAAGTAAAATTAAACTTGTTTTTTACAAAAGATGCTCAAAATGTTCTCCATTTACTTCTTGGCAGTAAAAAAGACGCTGAATAAAATTTTGCGACCTGTATATTCCATCATGGATCTCATGATGTGGCTATGATTTATTCTTCAGTCCAACTGTGAGTGAATTCAACAAAGATCATGTTATTCTTTTGGGTGATTTTAACACTCCATTATTAGTCCAGTCATTTTAGGATAAAAAAGGGATCAGTCTCGGAATGAGAGATAATAAGCTGAATTTTTGTATATACCTTAATTTTGGCGTTTTAAAAGTTGTGTCAAAAGTCTCATAAAATCTCGTGTCTGCGTCGTAAGTTACTCAGGGTCAAAGATGAAGAAAAATCGTTTTTTGCGATTATCTCGGTTTCTATTGCTCCAGTGATGTTAACATCTATTATCATAATTGTAGAGCACAAAATTTGGGACAAATTTTATTTGAAATATTTTTTCATGCGCTCAATCGTTTTTGAGATAGAGAGCAGTGAGCGCGCAGCGCTCATCCATACGCACTGTAATGCAATCAACCGTGAATATCTATGAATACTACCTTGAATTTTGAAAAATTTGTATTATTTATCAATTAATACATTGTATTTAAACATTTTACATATTTTCAACATATTCATTGAATAATACTTACCTACTTTGTGTAATTATAAACGCATTTAATGAAATATTTATTGTATATATCAATTTATTTATATCTTTAAAATGTGTAAGGTTTTAAATACTTATTTTTCTATCATGATTATAACTGGAAGGTCTGGAAATAACGATTCAGGGCACCGAAGATGATAACGATGAAACAGAAATTCGCGAACGTCCAGAAGATGACGGTGAAGAAGACGAAAATTAATACATTTGTTCTTTAAATTATTAAAGATTTCTAGATTGTCACTGCAATTCAATTTCAATAGTAAGAAATGTACAGGTACTGAGTAGTTAATAAATGGGGCTGACGTCACACAAGCTCCGTGTAAATCTTATGGACTTCCGGTCTACTGAAACGGTATCGCTCTCCTTGTCTAACACGTGGCGTTTTTGGATCCCTGTTTGTCGTCTCGCTCTCGCTTATTGTTGTAATGGAGAGGTGTGTGTGGTGCGCGCGCAGGATGGAAGATGGCGCCACCGCTGTATCGCGCGGCGCTCAATTTTTAAATTTATGAAAAAAAGTTTTTTTTCCTCGTCTTTATGCGGGAATCGAACGTCGTCCGATCTCGTGCTAACCGTCACCTCGGCATCTCGACTATCGCAGGGACCCTGAATGGAGCGTATTGTCAATCGTATTTATGCGTGTGTGTTTGTATGACCTCGAGTGGAGGAGGGGCCGCCGAGTCGGCCTTTTCCTGCAACCACTGTGTTAGAAAAATCAAGGGAATGACTCATTAAATACGGTCATAATTTATTAATGAACCAAAATATTTCAAATGAGCGTCCCCAAATTTTCTTAACACAAAGCGTGTGGCCGTGTACAGGAAGTGTATGTGGTGTTTCTAAATTTCGCATGCACCATTTATAACATACAAATCAGAGAAAAAAAACCTCCATAATTTGTTGATTATTTATTGATAATATAGGTTACAGGTATATGTATTATAAATCATAACAAAAAAGAAAATATTTCAACACATACAGAATCAGCTTCTTATGAAAAAAAAAGTTATATATTTTTCATTCGTTGACAATTTTATAATGACCCCAAGGCAAAGTTTCAACTACATTATTGGGTAATATATATCGTTTATTGTCCGATGAATCGAGTGCTTTTTTATGAATTTTTACGGTAAAAACTTGGTGGTTTTTCGACTGGATTGTATTAAAAGTGCAATTCTGATTTACTTCATTAAATAAACATTTATAAAAGTCATCAAACGTAATATGCTTTATGGCTGTTTTACCAACACCTTTAAGTTTTCGAACGCTACTATCTTTTCCGTCGATTTTGAAGCCGTACACTTTTGATTTAAGCGATACAAATTCGGTCATTATTTTACCACATAGTTCATCTTTAAATTTTCCTGGTACCTTTTTATTCACTTGTGGAATACCCCACTGATTATCGACAGGCAAATCTGAAGTGTCAAATAACAAAGATGCGTAATCTCGAATTATATGATAAATATCGGTTGTATCTTCTTTACGTAAAGTTGTAAATTCGTAAATGAAACTGTCGGTATCCATATATAATAATTTGGAAGCGAACCAATTTGATAGGTCTTTTTTGACAAAATTATAATGAAAATCGTACATTAACGTTTTTGATAATTCTAAAATTGTAAATCCTACGTAAATCGGCTTCTCGAAATTTATAGTTGTTTTATTCAATTCAACAACAACCAAATCTTCGTTTATAATTTGCGAACACTTAAATTCTGGCAAAGAGATATATTTTCTAGGGGTAAACCAATTGTTTGCTAGTTTTATTTTACGTTTCTTTCGATCGTTTTCCAGTGTTTTGCCATAATTGGCATTTATCATCAATTTAAAAAAGTCTTTTTCAAAAGCAGATTTGGCTTGCATTCGTAAATCAGTATTGAACATTATATATGGCTTTAACCAAGGTTTTTGTGAGAATTCTAAAACACGATGTATTTTTATCACTTTCAGACCGAAATGCACTGTTTGTCTTAAGTTCTCAAGATGAATTACGTATTTAGTTTTGTCGCATAAAGTGCATAATAATTTCTCTGAATTATTTTGCGAATTAGGAGGCATCTGATGTTCACAACAAAATGGTAATTGTTCATGTAAATCATGAAGAGACTGCGAATATTCCAAATCAACTTCTAAAATACAACATTTATCAGCAGTGTTTGCATAGCATGTATTTATATCTAGACTTTCAATTTCGAAATTATCTAACCACCTAAAATGATCGTATGGTAAACTCTGGCACTGTGCCCATCCGTAAAGATTACATACGTCCCAATAAATTAGATATTTAGTATCCAAATTTGGATCATATGACGAACAATACTTATTATTGGCTTTTGAATATCGACATATAGATTGTGATATACCACCTCTTAAAGCTTTTTCAATGAAAAGGGTCATATCGATATCTGTGAATAATCTGAGTTTAATTTGTGTCATTTTCAAAGCAGCAGCCCATGATAAGCCAGGTGCTGTAAAAAAACCGGCAGCATCGAGTCCATAATACTTCATAGTCAGATTTCTAAAATTTTCAAAGCAGTCAGCTAAAAGCAATACGTCGAGTTTCAAATAAAACAGGGCGTAATCACTTAAATTTTTAATAGAAAATTCATCCCATATTAGTTTAGCGTGAGCATAATCTTCGTCTGATATGTGTTCATCGTGCAGACTACTATAAAAATAATGTTTTTCAGGCAGTTTCGTTTTCGATAATTTATCCCAACAATCTAAGTACTCGTAACAAAACACTTGTTTTCGTGTTAACAATGGAAAACTTTTTACATCAGAAAAATATGACTTTGTAATTAAAAGTTGATCGGGAGTTAGATTTTTAACAAGAGAATCTAAGGACGAAGATAAAAACCTGTATGAATCTAAAAATGTAACTCGAGTTTGATTGAAATAAGTCGAAAATCCAATATATTTTTCCATATTTAATGGTACCAAATTGACATAATTACTACGAGCCAATTCCTCAATAAAAAGATGAGCGTCATACCCACTAAGATTATGTAAAAAAACGGGTATACTATAATCTTTTTTGCATTGTAAATTACAATTTTGACAATACGGTGCTATATATTTCCCTGTAAGATGATCATGATGGTGGACTTTTGGATTGGTTTCGCAATAAACGCGACCGCAGATAGGACATTCCATTGACGAATTATAATTTAATTTTTCCTCGTCCGAAAGGGGCAACATTGGCAAATCTCGCGTGCGTAGAATTTGCGTCATTTTGTTAATTTCTTTCTGAAGTTTTGCAATGAACCAAGAAGCCGGTGTTTGATCATTTGGTGAACTGGCAATATAACTAAAGAATGTATTTAAACTATTGTCAAAAGAACAGACACTCGTGAACGCTACACTGTAAGGTATATGTCGATATTTCATCGGATGATCATTACCTTTAATTAACAAACATTCAAAATCTGCATAAATAACAAAACCTTTTTTAAGAAGCGCTTTGTAATTTGAAAATTCTAAATGAGCACTAGATTCATCAGGTAAAGTAATCTTAACTGGAGAAAATAATTTACAATCCTGCTGATGCGACTCGTAATGTGATTTAAGGGAGAAATGATTTAAACATCTATCGCAAATGAACATTTTCGCTTTATGAGCCGAAATATTTCTTCCACAAACTTTACTTAAGTCGCTAATAAGACAATAATGGCCATGTTTGGATCGAGTCTTTTTTAAATATAATAAATTTATGTGATGGTTTTTTACATTTTTTGTATGATATATAGGGCCTTCAATTTCATGCGTTTTGTCATTGACCGTGAACACGTTAATTGATATGTTAGAATTTTGAGCTTCAAATTTAGGAATACTTGATAACTGAACAGGCATTTGTACACCACGTAAATTTAATATATCGTGATAGTTCTGCGGATAGGCATCAGTACGTTCATAATTACTATCTTTACAGGGATAAAGACTTGCAAGTACCGACCATACAAAACAAAGACGATCAGTATTCATTATATTAATAATGCCTCCTTTCTTTTTCAATTCTGTTGGCAACGGTATGTAGATTCGGCCGTTTATTGGAGTGTACTTGTTGAACGCAACCATTAGCTGACATATTTTCCGTAGACTCCATCCAGATTTAGATTCTGCGAATTCTTCCATCTGTAATAATACCATACCTTGTTATTAAGTGAAAAAAAAAATCTAAATAACTTACTTTGGTTTGAATAATTCCAGCTAAATCGTCAATAGATTTCTGAATGTCGGTCGATAATAAAATCATAGTGTTGGGTGTGTTGAAATACTTCAGGGACACTTCTCCTGTCGATGGAATTATGTATTCACAAGACATCTCGAAATTTAGTTTAATCGCTGTCATCTTTTTGAGAATATTTGTGATTCTTGAAAAAATTAACGGGCTGGCGTCGTGAAAAAATCGACGAATATCAACAAGATTCTCATCTAAATTAACAACTGCTCCTGTTCTCACGCGACCGACGAAAGCTGATTTTACCTAAGTAAAATTAATGTTTCTTATTTGATACTAAGGGGAATGAATAAAACTTACCTCTATCCAGCGAACCTTACTGTTTCTTCTCTTTTTACTATTACCGTATCCAATTTTTTCATTCTCGATTTTTGATTCGATATGTAAATTTAATCCTTTGATACGTGCTAAATAATTTTCCAATCTTCTTTTCTCCCCAACACAGTCAGAATTTCGCAATACACCATTCACGATTCGTAGATTTTTTCGATTCAATTTTAACACTTTTTCTAATTTCTGGACGTTGTTGTTACACAGTTGCATCATTTTGGTAACAGAATCGATCATTTTCTCGATTACTTCTGTTGTAGCTGATTCCATTGTGAAAAAAAAAAAACACCACTAAGTACTAACACTAATAATGCTGATTAAATATAAATTGATAATAATTATATTGTTACGAGCTGTTTTATATCTGCACGATTTCGTAGAGATGCGCTGGGTTGCTCTTTCCAGTGTCCTTGGTGCCATGATATACCAAAGCCAAACAAAGAACGTCCTCATGGATAGATTCGATCAAGTCATCGGACATATTATCTGCCATCCTTTTTGGTAAAAATATGACACCTTCTTCGAGTTCCACAAGGACACAATCACCAAATTTTCCTTTAACTTTTTTCACATCACAAATCGGGTATTTCTCACCAATCTTTAGCTCATCGGGATTTAATTTCGGTTTAGTTTCACATTTCCCAATTTTGTTCAATTCATTCAAACTAGCAGCCATTTTATATTTTCGCTGATATGAGAGTTAAGATTTCACACGTAGGTACTGCACGCAAGTGAGTCGCGAATATGAATAGATAGCTCTATTATTATTGTTATTCATTATTGTGGTAGGGAATTAAAACAAAGACGCTTTTATTTATTTTTTATTCATTTATTTATTTTATCATTCAGCCTACAAATTCTTGAATAGTACATGTCTGCAGGAAAAACGCTGAAATAATACATTTAATAATTATTATTAATCGTTCGATGCGAGATCAGAAAAAAACTTGAAACTTTTCCGTGCTGGTAATTTTGAAAATTACATTTGTTATATATATGTTAACAAAAATCTAAATTTAATATTAATCGGTTGATGCGAGATCTGCAAAAACCTTGAAACTTCGCTGTGCTAGCAGTTCTTTCATGCAGTGTAAATTAGCAGTCGTAGCATAATAAATTTTTTCAGGTGGGACATATTTTAAGTAACGAATCATATTATTATAAAAATTACAAAATTGTAACTCTTCTAAGAATTTTAATCTATAACATATTGTTTCGTCTAATGCTATGATTTCACGGCAAAGCGCTGGTCCTAAATGTAAAACCGTATCGCCTCTTCTCAATTCGATGACTGTTGGTCCACTGCAAAAATCATGTGATGTTGCAATGTTCAATTCGAAACCGTCGAACTGAAATTTCTTAGGAGCATCACAGTCCAAATTCGATGTTTCAAAATGTATTTTAATTAAAATATTCAAAAACTGCACAAAACACTTCCAGTTTTCTGTAGTAAATGTTACACAACGATTTTGCCAGTTCAGAATTTTTACGACATGTAAAAAATCTAGCACAACACTTAAGCCAGTAGAAATGCGAAATAAGGGATTCGTCAATTCATATTTTTCTTCAAATATCGAATTTTTCTCATGATTTAATTCGTCGTCTCGATCAAGTAACGGAAAGTCATCATCTATCGAAATAGTACGGGAATCGAAATTGATGCTGTTAACGTTATTTCTTGCTTTCGCAAAAGTAGGACAATCGCATGTTGTGTATTCACTAGCACTTTTATCACGGTGCATGCTTGAAATGCAAGCACCTTCGTCCATGGCTGAACGTAAACTAACACAAATGTTCATTTGAATCAAGCTGATAAAATAATAGACCGTAAGTACTAACTTTTTCTAAGATAACAAAAACTCTGCACATGTCAACAAAAAAAAAAACTTCAATATTAAGTTCCACAAACAATTTTATTTAAGGTAATTTTCCAATCAACCAATTGTATATAGTCTTACAATTTTCGTAACTACATACACATGCTGTTTTCTGTCCGTTTATGTGGTGCGTACAATTGTACGGTATACACTGAAGAAGGTGTGGAACGTCCAGTGTGTTTTCCAAATTTATTAGACGAATTCCATTATATTGTCCAAGGTTGAATTGGAGAAAGTGTTGTTTGATGTGTCCTTTTACATAGACCGTGTCTACTTGATCCTGTATAATATGTTTGTATAAAATATTCGGGACCTCGTTAGAATCTACGATGCCGTCGTTGTATCTCAGATGATGATGATTGTTTTCGAACCATCGTATATGTTTTTTAATTTTCGGATCAAGATCTTTAAACGGCTTGAGTGATTTAATCCAATAATGCGCTACATACCGACCATCCGTGAATGTCATCTCCTTCGGTATAAATTCAGGAATACAAAATCCCTGCATATCTATTACCAGAAACTTCATCTTGTTCAGACTGTCAAACCAAGACTGATAAATTTTTTCGATCTGTGTTCAACTTTTAATACAGGATTTAAAATTTGTTCAGTCCTCAGAATACGTAAACGAAATCTATCTCTATCTGCAGCACATTGTATCCATTTATCACCTCTTCTGGCTTGAGAGTAAGCGTATGACCAATGACACATATAATGAATAGTTGGAGGTGCTTCAGAGAAACTAACACTTTTTTTCATATTAAGAATTGCACTTTTTCACTTTTAGGTCTATATTCAATTATCTTATCGTGTATAATTAAACAATAAGCCTTGGTCGATTCGGGAAAATTTTCATGACTTTCAAATTCTAACTTTATGTCTACCACTGACGCTTTCAGAGGTTCAGGTTGTTTTGAACAATCAATTACAAACAGAGGTGTGTTGGCAAAAGTAGAGTAGTCAATTATTGGATCGGCAGCAGAATTTCCAGTCAACTGTTGCACTAAATTCATATATGCCGTATATGCTGATAGATACTGATTAGATGTAAAATCGAGACTATGATCTGCATAAGGATAAACACTTGAACCCACCCATGCTTGATATTTTCTCAAGTTAATATGGCTGAATTTCGCAACATCTTTTTTATGATTGTCTTTTATGTTTGTTTGGAATGCGAGGACGATGTATCTGGGCGTTTCCAAATTTGTCGTTGTTTTAATACTCCAAATTTCTTTGTCAGTGCCTGTTTTTAACTTTGGTAATTCATGAAGTTCACATTTTCTGTAACCTATAGTTATAGGTTTATCGGTTTGAATTTTCGGCCATAGCGTTATTTTCGCTTTGTCGCTGGGATAAATGTGCTTTGCTTGTATCGACACGCTATGCACTTTTATGGTTGCTTTCTTTGCACTTCCAGTGACCATATACGCGTTATCATCATTGCGACTGCGTACAAGTCGTATAGAATGATGTCCAAACATAACGTTTCTATAGTAAAAGAATATACCAAAAATATAACTAAATGGCACCCATATTTCAAATTTCTTGGTTTTTTCGTCTTGGGTAAGTATTGTATGGCCTGTTGCATTTGGATTCCAACCGGCTTGTATAAGATTCTTAGACTGATTTGCTGAATAAGCACAATAATTATGAATGGTTGTTGTAGTACCAGGATCTCTTATTTTTTCAACTTCTTTGCCATTAAAAGAGTAAATTATGGATTCAAACAGGTAAAGACCTGCATTATTTGTTAATTTACATTCTCCCGCAACAGGGGTTTCTGTTTTTTCACTTTCTATAGCAACAGGTATTGTAGTAGTTGCTTCTTCTTTTAGTTCGCCAATAATGCGAAGTTTCGAATCACTCATGCAAATAAATGCATCAGGTTGATGAATGTCAATTTGTATCTCATCACTGTTATTAAACGATTGCACGTAAGGATAATAAGTACGTTCCTCTTCTCTATCTACGCTTTGGTCTATTGAGGGGGATTGATAGATATCCAAAATTTCTGACATTGTAACCCAAGGAACGTAGAATGTAAACGCTGTACGGTGATAGTGTCTTCATTGGCGAATATCTGTCAACTAAAGATGCGATCCTAAATGACTTCTTATTTATATTACGTGTGTTATTGCGAAATGTAAGACCCATTAATAGTTTTTAATTCCAATCGGACCACTACTTCTTCACCACGAAAGTTGACGGGATCTGAGTTTTGATCGATCAGTTTGATGGTTATTTTATCAATGACGTTTTTGTTAATTAATGGCAAATATAAAGGATGCATTGGTTCGATATTTATGGCATATCCAGGATCTACTGTTGGAGAGAATTCATAGAGGGTGTGACAAGGTAGGCCAGCGTAAAATGAACCTGTCACAATGTTACATTCCACTCGAATTGACGTTACTTTAATAATATTTACAGGCATATCAGACTCGTGTTTTGTATTCGCTACTAATACTTTTTTAGAGAAACCCAATAAATTTCCTAGTGTCCCTTCTTTACCAAAATCAATATTGTAGATACTTTGTAGTTCTGCTTTCAATGTGTTATTATTCGGTTTCAACGAAAAAATTTGATCTCTCGATGTTTTAGTCGATCCATTGATATGTTCTTGGATGTAACGTTCCAGATCGCTTATTTCATAGCTACCTGTCGGAATAATTAATTTCTTTAGATCCACATCTTCTTTCTCTTTCGAGTTTGACGACGATGAAGAATAATAATAATAAAGTTTATCATTTACTCCGGTTTCGACGTTAGGTATGCTATTATATGTGAATAATCCTATTAATCCCAAACAATAATCGTAATTAGGATTTAATTCCACAGGTGGATATAAATCAGCTTCTAGGAAGCTACCGTGACCTTTTAGTGTGAAGGTTCGACTCATGACTAAATAAAAACTAGTTTTGCTTACAAATTTATTGAATCAAGAACTGCAAACATAAATGTCCACAATTGTATCCTAGATTTTGGTATTTATCTTGATTATATAGTATTCTACAATTATTTAGATAACTTACTAGCTCTGAACACGGTTTCAGATTACCGAAACTATCAAAGTATCGTATAATATTGTTCGATTTCTTATAGGCTACCCAATGAGTTCCACATCCATGTTTTGAATCCAAATTTACAATACCAGATTCATGTTTTCGAGGACCATCTTTTGGCAGATCATCTCTCATGAAAACGTCTCGAAAATGTGGAATGTTTAAGAGTTTTGCGTACTTCCGTAGATCAAAGTCCGTGAGTGCTCTTTTGGGTAGCCTTATTGGAAATTTTTTCCAAACTTTTTGAGAAAAAGTCCATAACCTTTGAGATGTTTCATCAAGTATAAACCATCGCCCTGTTTACCTATAGCTATAGCTTCCATTTGTTTGTTATGTCGTTCAGATTCTTCCAACGCTTTTTTCGCCGCTTTAGCATCGTTAATCGCTTTAGCTATACCTGCGGCCCCTCCTGAGATAGCACCTATAGCCGATAAACCAGCAAATATTGCAGGTAAAATTGGTAGTATACCACCTATTTTAGGCAGTGGTATTATTCGTGGTATTCGAATGCGTTTTTTACCACCAGCTTTTTTCACCGCTACACGGGCTGTTTTTAATAAGGTCGACACATCATCAACATCATTAATTTGTTTCTTCAATTTTTTTAACACAGCTTTTTGAAGAGTTGTTTGCGTCTGCGGTTTCTTCTTCTTCGAATTCTTTCTTTGTAGTTGCAAACTCATCCCTAACTTTCTTTTAACTTTCATTGCATTCGTTACGAACCAAGCACTTGCTTTTTCTCCTAACGAAGCGTCTGATGCTTTGACACGTGCCCAAGCCTTGTTTTCTAAAATTTCGTCTGCTTTATGTCTTTCTTTCAGATCTTTAGTTCGTGAATATGCGATATCGTGCTCTTTACAACTTCTATCTAGCTCGTTAATTCCAGGGTCGCCGCGTTCAAGCCTCTTCGCAAGCTTAGTACCCGGACCGCAA